ATGCCAGAAGAGGGCATCAGATCTCAGTATAGATGGTTGTGAGCCACCATGTAAGTTGCTGAGAATTGAACTCAGGACCTCTGATAGAGCAGGCAGTGTTCTTAACCACTGAGCCATCTCACCAGCCCCAGTGTTTGTTGAAGTATTGTTTGCAGTAGCTGAGTTATGGAACCAACCTAGGTGTCCATCGACAGAGAAATGGATGAGAAAAATTTTTTTCAGCCATAAGAAACAAATTTATAAATCTGTTTAAAGGAAAATACATGCAACTGGAGCTAATCATATTAGGCAAATTAAGCCAGCCTTAGGAACACAAATATGGAAGTTTCTCTCACTTGTGGTTCCTAGATTTCATTTTGACACATAAAATCATGTATGTATATATGACATGCAAATATAGGTTAACTTCCCAGAGGAGCAAAGGCGACTAATGGGAGAGTGAGAAAGGGTAGGGTAAGGACATGTGTGGGGTTGGTAGTGTGCTCAACATACAATATATACTTGCACGAAAATGTCCTTATAAAACCGTATGTAATGAATATACACACCAAACATTTTAACAGATTAAAGAAAACAAACTCTTTCAGAGAGTAGACAAAAATACTTTGGAATTTGTCTTGAAGACCAGCTCACCAGTGATATTAAATCCTGACAGGTATTGTCTTTGTTTTTGGGTGTGAGTCTGAACAGGAGTCTGTTCTCTCCTTTTTCCATGGGTTCAAACTCAGGTTGCCGTGCTTTCTCAGCAAGTGCTTTTAGCCAGCGATCAATCTTGCTGGCCCTCCTTTGGGGTTTGTTTGTTTTTTTTTGTTTTGTTTTGTTTTTCTTTGAAACAGGGTCTCATATATCCCAGGCTGGCCTTGAACTCCTGAGGTAGCCAAAGATGATTCTGGATTCCTGATCCTTCTGATTCTCTCTTCCAAATTTTGAGAGCATAGGTACGTACCCCTGCATCTTACAGTTCTTCGGAAGCAGGAAGGCTCACACAGGTCTGGAAAACACTCCATAGCCCAGGCTGGTTTCAACTCAAGAGTGGTCTTTCTGCCTTGGCTTCCCAAGTGCTGGGACTACAGGCATACGCTGCCACACCTGGCTCATCTTGTTAGTAATAATAGACCCTCAAAGCTAGCTGCATGTTTAAGAAGTCCCAGGTTGTCACAATGAAACCTCGTTATCTGCATTTTTTAAATTATGGGATGCAATTCACATCAGGTTAGTAGACTAATAAATCTTCGGAGAGGTAACACTCTCTTTTTCCTTGGTGGTAGTTTTTGGGTTGAGGTGAAGATGGGGTTTGCTATAAGTTCTGTATTTGCTTTTTTTTTTTTTTAAATATATTGCATTTATATATTGTAATAAAAGTTGTTTTGAATCTTGTGTTGACATATATTCTTTTTTTCCTTCTTTGTAAAGCTATAATCACAATTTAAGATAGCCTGAATTTGGTACATAGGGCTGGATGGGATTGACAAAACCCTCATGTAAGAGGACTCTTGTCCTTCTTGATCTGAGACACACAAGACCTCTTATTATGCTCAGATATGTACCAAGGACACAGGCAGAATACCTAAGCTTAAACCAAAACATCACGTGCAGTTACTGTAACTCTGAAGAGGGAAATTATAATTCATTTTTAGTATCACTTTAATTCCCTCCTATTTTTTTTTTTTTTTTTTTGAGACAGGGTTTCTCTGTGTAGTCTTGGCTGTTCTGGACTCACTTGTAGACCAGGCTGGCCTCGAACTTACAGAGATCCACTTGCCTCTGCCTCCCTGAGTGCTGGGATTAAAGGCGTCCCACCGCTGCCCGGCATTTCCTTCTAATTTTAAGCTCTTAGCTGATAACCTGAAAAACCTTAGCGGTGTAAGACAGCGCTTGCTTCATTTACCCCCATTCCTCTCAGGGCGTCTGCGCACAGAGCCAGAAGGCGGCTTTTGTCCTTATTTTGCTTCCTACTTGGGATCAGAAGTTACTTAATCTTATGGCCTAGTTTGTTCAATGTTACAGAGGCAATGACATCCTGTGTTTCAGAGAAAATTTGAAAAGGTAAAAATAGTATACACATACAGGCTAACATCACCACATTATTAATTAATAACAGGTGGTATTTATGGGTAACATTTCTAAACATAAAGGACAAAGCAGATAGTACAATGTACATATGTGTGGTGGCAAATATATTTGGAGATGAGACCAGAAGGACTAAAAAGACGGAAGAGTAAACATGTCGGTAATCATAAAGGATTAGCAACCTAACAAAGGTGCAGTCTTGAAAGGCCAACAGGAACTTTAAACTTCTTTCTAATTGGATAACATGCTCTCTAGACCCTTAGTGGACATCTGTTGATTTTTTTTTCCTGCCTTGGAACGGACTCACTACTGGCACCAGCAACCTCTCCTTTTGGGACTGTTTGTTGTTCCCTGGGTAGGGGTGGACACGCTTACAGATTCACAGGTGACCAAGCCAGCGAGCATCCTAACTTGAAAGTCATTCCTATATGTCCTGGCAGGACAAGTCTCTTCAGCTTTGGAGATTTAACTGGGAGATGCAGGCTCTTTGCGGGAGGGGTACCTTGCCTGTAGAGCCTCATACCTTGATCCCACCTGCCTTGCTGCTTAGAGGCATTGGGGACTGCGCCTTAAGAGAACCTTTTCAGGAACCTGAACTCAACTTTTTCTTCATGTTTTTCTCATACATAACATGCTTGTTTAAGATAGAAGAAGGAGGAGGGGAAAAGAAAGAAATAAAGAAAGAACAAAACAATGTAACTTACAGAAAACCTTATATACTTTTTTTTTGAGGGGGCAGGTCAGGATGTCATGTCCTGGAACCAAAGATCCTCTTGCCTTAGACTATAGTGGATGTTGGAGTAACAGTCCAGTGGGGTGTCATCACATTTATTTATTTATGTAGTTAGTTAAATAGCAAGTACTTCAAATAGTTTTTTATCATCCACCATCCAGTGTTCAGATTTCCCAAACTGTCTCCCCTCCTGTCCTCCCGAGAATTCAAGGTTCCTTCATGTGCTTTACAAGTGACAGATGAGGTTCTTGTGATGAAATAACAGGGTAAATAACCATAAATTACACCTTAAAGTTAACTTTGTACCCTAGAAGCCAAAAGAGAGCAACGAGAAGGACACACAGTAGTTAGTTTGGCATGTTTGAACTGAGGTATCATCCCCTCCAGGAAGCATGAAAAGACTGATTTTCCTTCAGCCACCTGAAACAGCGGCTCTCAACCTTCCTAATGCTGCCACCCTTTGAAACAGTTCCTCACACTGTGGTGACCCCCAACCATGAAATTATCGTCAGTGCTACTTCATAACTGTAATTTTAATACCATTATGAAAGTATTGTATTAAATATCTGTGTTTTCCAACGGTCTTAGGCAAAACCCCTGTGAAAAAGGGTCATTTGACTCCCGAAGGAGACGCGAACAACGGGGTTGAAAACGTTCAGTATTACACGCTCCCAGGACAGTAGCTCCTACTTAGGCCCTCTTTATTAGGACTCGTGGCCCTAACACCGACCCTAACTACCAATACCCATCGTTTATTTCTTTCATATGCCCACTACCCCTATGTTTAAAATATTTTACTTTATTTGTGTATGTGTGTGTGTTTGTATGTGGGCACACAAGTGTCATGGTGCGGGTGTGGAAGTCAGTATGTGGTCCCTGGCGATTGAAGGCACGTCATCAGGCTTGGTGACAGGTACCTTTATTGACTGAGTATCTCTATCTTAAAAAAGACTGCTGAGCCCAAAATCATGTTTATTGTTATCACTGTATCACTAAGGTCCGAAAAGTTTTTTAACATGTGTGCTCACTTTGTGGGTTTGCTTTGCATCTTGGGTAGGCATTCGAGCAGTGTGCCATCATGCCTGGCTGTCAGCTGGTTCATTTTTACAGCAACCTCCCTTCCCTTGCCTGCTTGTCCTATCAGCACTGTACGTAGTTCTGATCTGGGACTAAAACTCATGATCTTTTGGCTCGGGCTCTGCAAACTGAGTCATTCTGGCACTGACAATATTCCGTGACTCAGCAGGTCCGAAGAGGAGGTTGTCAGAATCCAGATAGATAATTTCGAGTCTTTTAAAGGCAAGCTAGGAAACACAAACAACACAGTGGAAGAATTTCAAAGCGGGTCTGCGTATCCAGGGGAAAAATGTCATTCCATTCCCAGGCTTCTCACTTCCTTCCTTGCCCGGGCAAAGGAGTTACACTTTAATTTAGAGCAAGGAAATCACAAAGTTGACTCTGAAGCTGACATCGGGCCCTGTATTCCGCAGGGACTCAGCCCCCTGGTCACCTCCGGATCTCTGCCCTCAGCGTGGGTAAGCGCTTGACCCGCGCTGCAGCAGACATGCCCGGGACGGCTGGAGAAGGCGAGGTCACGCAGGCCGCCGCCTCCCTGAGGGGTCGCTCAGGGCCCAGCGCCTGGGCTGGGCTGCTGCTGGGCTGTACCGTAAGGACAGACACCTGGGTGGGCCACGGTCCACGTCCTCGTGAAGTCAAAAGCCGGATACCGAGCCACCTCACCGTCCGGCGTTGCCCTTTGAGAACCCCTCTTAGTCCCCGACACCCTCCAAGGCAACATCCTCTTAGGACGAAGAGCCGAACAAGAGACTGCCACAGGGTGCGGGAGCTCCACCGCGGCCCTTGCCCTCCCAGAATGCACCGCCCCGCGCCCCACACCCCACGCCCCGCCCTCCTCCCTTCGCTCAGGCTCCCTCCCCGCCCACCCTGAGCCCCTCCCTCTTATTCCCTCGCCCAGCCCACCTCTAGTCACGCCCAGCCAGAAGCATGGCCCTCTGGCCTCCTCCATCTCGCGCCCCCTCCCTTTCGCTCCCGGGCCCGCCCACCTCGCGCCCCGCCCCGCCCTCTAGCGCCCCGCCCTTTCGGCCAGCCCCGCCCACCCCCGCCCCGCCCCGCCCACCTCGCTTCTCGGGCCCACCGCCCTCCCGGGCCGGAGAGCCAGTGGTTGCCCCAGCCGCCGCCGGGAGTCGCTGGGAAGGGCACACAGGGCGGGGAGAGCCCCGGGCCCGCGTGAGCTGCCGAGGAGGCCGGTCTTGGGTTTTCTCCTCCGCCAGATCCCACCCCACGCGGCAGACCCCACCCCCTGCTCCTTCCTCCTGGGGCGCGCTCTCGGGCGCGCGCTCGGAAGTCGGGGGTCGGCGCCCAGTGCAGGCTGCGCACCGGGAGGCTGCGGAGGCAGCGCGCTCTCCGCCCGAGGACGCCCACCCGTCGGCTCTGCGCCCGGCCCTCGCCGCCAGCCCGGTCCCCGGCCCGGCCTCGGCCCGCAGCGGAGGCTCGGCCTCGAGGCACGCCGCTAGGCGAGTGCGGCGCGGCGCCCAGCCTTGCGAGGGCCCGCGCGCGGCGGGATGACGGGTGGCGGGCGGGCCGCGCCGGCCCTGCGGTCCCGGGGGCGGCTGTGGCCTCTGCTGGCCGTGCTGGCGGCCGCGGCGGGCTGTGTCCGGGCGGCCATGGACGAGTGCGCGGATGAGGGCGGCCGGCCGCAGCGCTGCATGCCGGAGTTTGTGAATGCCGCCTTCAACGTGACCGTGGTGGCCACCAACACGTGCGGGACGCCGCCCGAGGAGTACTGCGTGCAGACCGGGGTGACCGGGGTCACCAAGTCCTGTCACCTGTGCGACGCCGGCCAGCTCCACCTGCAGCACGGGGCAGCCTTCCTGACCGACTACAACAACCAGGCCGACACCACCTGGTGGCAAAGCCAGACCATGCTGGCCGGGGTGCAGTACCCCAACTCCATCAACCTCACGCTGCACCTGGGTAAGCGGTGACAGCCCTGTCCCCCACTGCTTCTCGCTCACGGCTCAGCTCCGGGGCCGCCTCCGTGGAGCCGCCGGTCCGGCCCGAGGGGCCTGCGCTGACGGTCTGTTCTCCAGCGTGGGCCACACACAGAAATTCCTTTCTCCAACTTTTAAAATCCATCTCCCTTTGAACATCCGGTGAGGGCCACCATGTCCCACGCTAGCATCTCTCTCTCTCTCTCTCTCTCTCTCTCTCTCTCTCTCTCTCTCTCTCTCTCTCCTCTTTCTAACCCAACCGGATTCTTGTTCCGTTGATTATTTTCTATTTCGGCAGTTAGGATTTTGGCCCAACAACCCCACTTTTCTTCCCCCCTAATGAAATACCCATCCTGGCAGGGCTATCACATCGCGTGCTTGCTTTAGCTAGAATCTTCAAGGTCTACCTTTAGACACCTGTCTTTAAAATGTTTAGTTGTCTCTCTCCAGGGTGGAGAATGATTGCTCTTAGTTCTGATCAGGGAATTTGTCGGGAACAAATGCTTTCTGCTGCCGGTAATTAAAGCAGGAATTCACTTTTAAAGTTACTGTTCTTTAGAGCTGATCAGCCTTCATTAAGAGCTGTTTCGCCGCTAATCCTGGTGGAGAGGAAACAGAAAGGTAATGAAGACCCTCGCTGTAATTGCCGGCCAGTTTTGTTACGGTGTAAAAAGGCTCAAAGGCTCTCCTCGAAGTCTTCCCTGTTGCTTTGATCCAGAGCAAATGTGGAAGCGTGCATCCTTTTAGAAGTCAGGAAAGGGCTGTATAGTAGGAAACTCTGTGGCAGAACCGTGGATGGGAAAGGCCGTGGTTATCTGAATGGATCAAAATTCCTGCTTGATCTAGGAAAGTTTACCTTCACTTTTGAGACAGACGAGCGAGCAGAAAATTTCGTCGCTGTGATCAGTAGTGCAATATAAGGGTGAGAAACTGATTGTCAGTGTGTAGGGTTCCCTTCCCATTGTACCAGTAGCTGGTACTAAAGCAGACTGCCCCACGCTTCTACAGGGCTAATAACATCTGGAGTATCTGAAAGGGACATTTTGTAGGCAAATAATCCTCAGGTCACGGTTTTGTGCTTTTCTTGTCATTGCTCTCCAGCACACCAAACATTATATTAAGTATCAGGGAATTTTTTTTTTTTTTCAGAGAAAGAATGTGACTTACAGCAAGTGTCTTTGAAAAGTGTAAATTTGTGTGTGTGTGTGTGTGTAAGAAGCTTTAGAAAAGCAGTGTTTAGTGCCTTTGCAGTAAACACCTTTGTATTTGTAGATGAGTCACCAGGCAAATGGAAACTTTTTGAAAACAAGTTCATAAACAAAACTGGTGAGGCCTCTGCTTTTCAGTAATTAAACAAATGAATGAGTTCAGTATTGAAAAGGCGTTGGAACTATATAGAAGTGTGGAAGTTGCGTCTTGGGACAGGTGCCTTTCTCAAGGCAGAGGGAGACAGTGGGGCTAAGATCTCTTTTAAGTACCTTAAGAGTTTTTAGGTTGCCCAAAATTGTTTTATAGTTTATGACCAGTTATTTTTAACTTATTTTTTGGCATTCAATTCTGAATCCCCTTGAAGTCTTGCTTAATCCATTTTCAGATTAAAAAAAAAAAAAATTAAAGAAAAGCGAAGGCCTTGATGTCTCCCAAGTGCCTGAGATGCAGTTGAAAAGTTCTGAACAATAGCCTGTCAATCTTGGCTTTCCTTTTTCTCCAGGCATAAGGGAGCTGAGGTTTTTTTGTTTGTTTGTTTTTTGTTTTCCAGGTGATTACAGAGGGAGATAGAGAGAGAGTAAGTATTCAATCCGAGTTAAGTTCTCTGTAGCGGAGACATGTGCTAGGTTAAGAGAGAGCGGTGAGGTTGCTGCTGTTGGGAGGCAGATATGTTGACTCTGGGTCATGTTACTAACAAGGTCAAAGAGCTCTTTCATCTCTTTAGGATGGCAATATGACATTTTCCGTGAGCTTCGACTTTCTGGAAAAAAAAAAAAGCTGAAAAATTCTTCAGTTGGCTGCTAAATGACAGTCATAGAACAGGGCCTCACTCTGGCTGTCCTGGAATTCACTATGTAGGACAGGCTGGCCTCGGAACGCACAGAGACCCTCCTGCTTCTGCCAGGATTAAAGTCAAGAGCAGCCACACCCAGCAGATTTACTCTTAAGAAAAAAAGATTTAAAATATTTTCTAAGCAATGTAGTTATCGTAAAAATAGCAGTCTAGTTATTGTAAAAATGCGCTTTTTGTGTCATAGTTGGAGAGTGTATGAAAGCTAGACTGGACTTACTACACTTGTTTTGTATTGGAAACGATATGGAGGAAATTTGCAGTAGAGTTGGTGGGGAGGGGAGAGTTTGGTAGGGATTGTTGCATCTGGTTTCTGCCCCCACATCCTTTTTATTTTTTTCTTTTTCTCTCTAATGGCTGTGTATATATGCATGCATGGAGGGTGTGCTCAATGATTTCGGGCAAGTAGGCAGGGAATGACTTATCAGAGTGTTTGGATATTCAGCGTATTCACTCCTTGACTCCAGTTACTCTGTGGGCTGTAGCTAACTAATTATTTCCCATGGAGTCAAGTACCATGACTGTTTTGTGCATCCATTAAATCTCCCGTCCAGTTCAGATTTCACATACCCTTCAACAAGCGATGCATACTGTGCCTTGCCCCTACAGAGCATGCGAAACTCAAGTGAGCGCTGTGAAAGAATAGGCCCAGCCACCGCTTCGCTGGCCTGCCTTCTGATGTTGAACCTTACTGCAGACCTAAAAATAAGTCAAGTCTAGGATTGGGTGCGTTGGAGCACTCTGGGAGGCTGATATAGGCAGATCTCCGAGCGTTCAAGGCCAAGCTGGCTTACATAGCAAGTTCCAAACCAGCCAGCGCAACATAGTGAGACCCTGACTCAAAAGTTAGAGAAACAAATCATCAAGTCAGGCCACACACTTAAGTAGTAACAGAAAATATACATGTTTTGGCAATGATCATGAGTCACTTACTTATTATGAGAATGAAACACAAGGCGATATATTCAAATAGTAAACATAGCAACAAGCCCAGATTGCATGATCAGTTTAACCAGGACCTTTTTGGGGAGCTGAATTTTAAATTTGACAGGTACAAATTAGATCCTTGTAGCCAGTACCCATCACTTGATGTGAAAACAATCCAGGAGAACAAGCATGGATTCTGACAGCTGCCATTTTCAACTTCCATGCGCAGTAACATAGTAGGGTTCAGGGTGCAGCACATCTCTTTATATGAAGAGTTAAAGTTGCTTTGGGAACCACAACTGTATTTTCTGCCTGTTGTGGAGAGAAGTCTCAGTCAGGCACAGGTTCCTCAAAAGTCCTGGTTTTTTGCTTTCAGCTTTCAAATCTGCTTTCCTGAATAATCTGTCAAGGTTACTTAGTTGCTGTTTAGAAGTTTAGCTCTTACTTCTGATAATTTTAATTTTAGCAGTATCTAGGGACTTGTTGAAAGTAATACTGTAGCTGAGGATTTGATTTTCTTAAGCAGCCCCTTTAATTAATTCAATAATTATTGTGAATGGAAACTTGGTAGAGAGGGCTTTGATCTTTCAAAAAGGTACCCTTTTCTCATTCTTAAAACAATTAGGTTAAGAAACTATTTATATAAGCAACTCAGTCAAAGTTTATGGAAGTTCCAAAGTTAGCTTTGCAACTCAGTTCCCAAGCACTTCATCAGCTTCAGGGATGGATGGTGCTTATATGAAGCACTTTAATCTTTGTGAAATATTTTGTGTGTGTAAATCAGAATCAACACACAAAGGGATTTGGTCCTTCCTGACTGCATATTACTATTTAATGTGAAACAAACAGCAAATCTGCCTTTTCTCCTGGGGAAATCTTTGTAAATGTGGGCTCTGACTGTGTTGAGGAGTAGCTCAGGGTGGTGACTGCACTGTGGTGTTTGTGTGCCCTGAGGGGACACTATTTTAGTTTGTCTCACAAAGGCCTGATTTACATTTTGCAGGTTTCAACTTGAGAAGGTAAGGAGCTGCTCTTTAATGGCCAGTAGTTGCTGAGCATTTTTTTTTTTTTAAGTTGCTGTTGGCTGTATCCCTGTTCTACAGTTCATTGCTTTTCTGCAAATTCCTTCTCCCTCTTTTGTAAAGCACCCAGGAGAAAACATACACATCAGAGGAAATGTTACAGCTCTGGGGCATCCCTCTCCATCAGTTTATCCTAAGTCACAGTGGTGTGGGAGGAGTAGCATTGGGTTGTTTCAATTCTAAATCCTTTTAGGAAGTTGGGTATGCTCTTTATCATGTAACCCCTCTCTGTGTGCATACATTCTCATATTAATGGCAGCTATTCTGCAAACATTTTTTAAATTCCTAAGAAATGCATACCACAGAGCAGCCTGATAGAAAGGTGTGGAAGATTGAAGGCCCATTCCTAAGAGTTTATATGCTTCTAAGTGGAATTTAAAGGTGTAGTGCTTTTACCATGTAATAGCAAAGGGCTTTTTTTTTTTTTTAAGATCCATTTATTTATTTATTTATTTATTTATTTATTTATTTATTTATTTATTATATGTACAGTGTTCTGTCTGCATGTACACCTGCACACCAGAAGAGGGCACCAGATATCATTATAGATGGTTATGAGTCACCATGTGGTTGCTGGGAGTTGAACTCAGGACCTCTGGAAGAATAGCCAGTGCTCTTAACCACTGAGCCATCTCTCCAGCCCAGCCAAGGGTTTTTTTAATAATAGTATATTGCAGTTTTTAAAGCCTCCAGCTTGTCAGTGGTTAGACTTCTCCATGAAGGCAACCATGAGGACCCTGTAGGTGTGACCGGAAGTCCTGGCGCAGGTAAGTCTTGGACTCCTTAGTCGAGTAGATTGGTCTCGGCCACTCATTCTTTCTTTAGCAAGTCTCTCAAGAGAGTGTCTGGCTTATCCCTTTAAAATAAAAAAAGCTCACATACAGATTGATTCAGAAATGCCAGACTCCTTTGGTT